CCCCCCCCCCCCCCCCCCCCCCCCCTTTCGCCTCCCTCCTCGATTTATCCACACGACGAGAGAAAGGGCCAGATGATAAAAACGCACGTCATGAAACATGCCCCGAGGGTATTTTGGTGCTAATTGAATCGCGGCAAACTATTATCTAGTGTGCACTCGAGATACTGGCGGCCAGTGTGCCAGCGTATGCGGGGCGGGGGGTGATATCTAGCGTTACGATGACAGACCAAATCGTCAGCCGTCCCTGCAACCAAGCGTCCACATTCGGTGACTGCAGGATGAGACGGCGTGAGCAGTAGCCTTGATTCGCACACTCCTAATTGGATACACTACCAGCTGCGCACGAGATGTGCCAACAAACAGAGCAAGCAAGGCCGTTCAAAGACCCAAACGCTCAAATGTTGCACACCTTCGAGTCGTTGCGGGCGAAGACGATTCCGTGGCCGGGATAGATCCGGCTTGAGCAAAAGTAGCAGATCTCTATTCGGACCATCCTGTCCGCTCCTTCCTACGGTGCAGCTGCAACCGCTGCTTCCTCTTCCCCAGCAAGGAGTCTCACGCGCTTCCCTGGCTTGTCGTCCGCTACCTCTCTGCGTCTGTGCCCTCTGAGCTTTTGAGTTTCCCTGTGCGTGCGTTTGGTTTTGACCTTGTGAGTGGTGACAGCAGCAGCCACTAGTGTCACCGTGATGACAAACGCTCTCTCCCTCACTCGCTACCAACGACAGCGGCAGTCGTCTTCTTCTCCCCAAGGACGTTGACGACGGGAATAATCGGGAGCGCAAGATAAAAAGCGGAGATGGAGAGGTGGTAGGCTGGCTGCTGCTGCTTTGCTGCCGTCACAAGACCACAGGCAAGCGCAGCTGAAAATGCGGCGAGATAGGAGGAGGTGATGTGTACCCCCCAGCAAAAGTACGATTTGTCTCGGATCCAGGGTGGGGTATGGGGTCTCCGCACAATTATTCATACCCCATTACCAAAACCTGTATCGTGCGTGGTGCCCCTAGCATGGGCATCTCAGGCACTGAGCCACATATCCCACCCTCCGCGCACACCGCTTGCGGTGATTGAAGGAGGAAAGTCGAGGGCGTGTAGCGCCAGAGAGTTAGAGGAAACAGTGGGATTGATCGTGACCGGCTAAAAGAGGCACCTCTCCGGTGCCTCAGGATCATTCCAGTCCCCCTGGCGTGTCTGCAACTGAGCGTCTCTCGCCCTCTTATTACAGAGCCCTCTCCCTTTTATTCCTGCTAGTGGTAAGGACACTACTACCAAGAGTTTGGGGAGGGGGAAGGGTCAAGCAGGGCTTGGGGATATCCTGGACAAACCTCGCGAATAGTTTTTGCCTGCACAAATCTTGCTGTGATCCTGACTGCGTTGATCTTCGGGCAGCAGCAAGGAGTAGTGGTGTCGCCAGAACGCTTGAGACGCAATCGAGCCAAAATTGCACCAGGAGACCGGCAAACAGAAGCGGGGGAAGCAAAGGTGAGACCGAGACACCTTTTGGTCATCGGAGGGGCGTGTATAGGTGTGTGTCAGAGAGGAAGAACGCAGGAAGAGAGCCAGTAAGTTATCCCTCGCCGATTTGTGCGCATGCTATGTACATCAGCTCCAAATACTACTCCGTACGCCTCCGCGTTGCAAGTGCTCAACTGGATTTCCGTATCTACACCTATCTACACCTACCTACCTGTGTCTCGGCGTGTCAATAGTGATGTGCAAAACAGCTCTCAAGAGGCAAACTTGCGGGCGTGTGACAATAAGAGCCGCCTCGTACACGGCGCACATTTTTTACCCCAATACAAATATGCATTCGTAGATTCTTGCAAGGTCGCCCTCTTGTTTTTTGCGTGTTCTCTCTTGGAATGGCTACACAAGGGCACGCGAGCGCACGCGTGTTCGCAATGATCCCGCGGTTTGGCGGTGCATGCAAAGAGGACGCGGCTGGAAACTCTCGCCCTTTCCTTCCACCGTCTGGCCTCTGAACCCCCCACGTGCCGCGAGGCGCAGAGGCAGGATCCAGGCAGGGGGAGCTGTTTCACGAAACGGTTTACTATAAGCGAGGGCTGTTATCGTAGCTCTTGACATTGGCAACCTCTTGCTTTCCGCTGTTGTCCTCGACCCGTAGACTAGGCCACGTGAGTTGAACCTATTTGCCTTGCGCTGCCTCCATCCCGCTGCCTATATAGCCGCTGAGAGCGGGTCCGCGGTTGAGCGAACACGATTGAGCGGAACTGTCGGGACGATGGATGGTGGTCCACACTGCATACGACGTAAACACCCCGCCCGCTACATAGGCAGCAAACACAACGCGAGTTACAGCAGTAGGTGTACATAGGTTGCCCCCTCTCCCCCTGCCAACGAGTGGCACCTGTCAGTCTACATGTAGGCCACCAAACCGGTTGCACCACGCGCCATAGATCAGCACCCGACTCAGGAATCTCTAGCGTTGGCGGAGGCTTGGTTTCCTTACAGGCAGTAATAGTCTCTCCTGTTGGACTGCATGCAAATGACCGCTACGTAGGGGTTGGCTCACAACTGCTGCTCAAGTAAGTCGAGCGCGATGTTCTTGACTGCCAAGGTTCTTGAGCGGGCGCTGTCTGTATGCAGAGGCTCATGGTTTGCCAGTGCGACAAGCACACGTACAGCAGTTGGTCCGGTTTGGCTACCCGGGACAACGACCATATCGAAATCGCGCGACAACACTGCAACTAAAATCGCCGCTATAGACTGGCAATGGAGGAACGACCTACCTACCCTGAAGAGCGACCACATCCCTTCCTTCCTGACACTCCTAGGGCAGGCAAAACGGGTCCCACCACCCACTGCTGCTGTACACCCCAATCGCACGCATTTCGTCTCCAGGTGTATGCCTCGAAAAGGTACACCATATCCCTTCCCGCCACTAGGGCACGCAAGACGGGGCACACCGCCACCGCTGTACACCCCAACGTCACGCCTTTCGTCTCCCAGTGTAAAGCGACCGGCCCTGAATAGGCTTCCTGACACCAGGGGGCGTTACACCGGGGCCTACCACCACTGCTGTGCACACCAACCTCACGCCTGTAGCCCCCCCCCCCCCCCCC